TAAGTGGCATTCAAATGAAATGACATAATAAGCTAATATGGCAAGCCGGTCACGTGAAATAAAGAATCTCAGCACCCAGGCACGCGGTTAATGAATCGAATGGAAGTGCATGCAACGTACCTATTAACGCTCCGCCGGTTCTGCTTACCTCCTCAGTAGCACCCGTTGTCGTTTCCACACCGGTCCCGATTGGCCTCGCTCTTGACTCACTAGACTTTTCTGACTCAAGCACTTGCGACCGCATGTGCTACAGCACCATGCGCTCGACATCAATGGAGTACACTCCATCGACGCTTGTCGCTTCTGCACCTACCGCTTCATCTCCGTGTGCACGCAAGCTATCATCTGCGCCTCGACAACTGTCTTCGTGATCGGATCGCGCCATGCACGCCGATCAACCGCCTTCGATTCCCAATACCTGAAAATAACATTAGGCCTTGATAAACCCACCTTGATTATGTCCTGGTAACTAAGTTTCGATTCCCCTACATGCCAGTTCCCCACACTCGGCTGTCCATATAGCATCTGCTTCGGTATCCGCGTCGAATCCATAGGGCACCCATGACCGAGCCACCTCAGGTGTATACGTTCCACTTCGACGCAACACCTTGTCTGCAACTCTGTCGCACCAATTGATGCTCAGAAGCCGTCGCAGACAGTTTTGATGCGTGACATACTACAGTTGTGAAATGTATATGCGTTTTTTAATATTCTTTAAAGCGGTATGTGACAGGCTTTAGGCACATCCCAACAGGTCTCTGTAACTATACTAAAGAGATGAACTTGCTCCCCATTGCTATTAAGACAGACTCCGCTTGAACTCCTTTAAGCGAACCTCCATGTACCCCACTACGTTTTGGATCAGGCTGTTGATCCAGATGCTAGAGGTAGGGCACCTCATACAAAACCCCTCTATCGGAGTGGGCAGCAGGGAAGTACTGTGGACAATCATCATTTTCTTTTTATTGTTTTCTCTTTGCTCTCAACTCTGTCCTCGTATTTTGAGCAAGAGACTGCCGCTGACCTCGCAGCTGCTACCATCGGTACAACTAAGTCGCCCATCAAACTTAGTTTCATTTCACATTGGTTCTTTTAACGTCTACACTCTGGGTCAGATCGGCCAACAGGCAACACTAACTCTCACTTTTCACTCTTACTGTGTGTCCTAGACACACATACAGGATAAAATTGTTGTGATGAATCTTCCACTCTCTGGTTCTGAATCTGACGACAGTAACTGTACTCTTCGTGTCTGGCGATTCTTAGTCAATGGCCTAATATATTTGCGGCGTTGGTACTGCCTTTAGCAAGCATGTTGAAAGCAATCTACTCGACTGGATGTTTACTTTCAACCTGGAACTTCTATTAGAGTTAATCAGCACCTTCTGATGGCGAGGTGCGTTTTCATCGTTTCCCTTTATGCCCCACTGACTGCAGTTCGGAGGGTATCAAAGACCATTTCTATCACCATCTTTCATCCTTTCTCCGTTTGGCAAAATATACTGATATTGCTATTGTTGATGGTGACTTGAGTGCCCAAATAGGTCGTCTTTCAGATACTGAACAACACCTGAGAGACCGCTTCGGGTTGGATACACACCGAACAAACAATGGTGATCGATTTCTTAACTGTGTGCCGGCCACAATCCTTTTCAGCAACACTGCTTTTCAACACGAACATCCAGATCGCGTCACCTGGCGCTCACCGAATTCATGGATAGCCTGGACCCAGTTTGACTATATTGCTGTCAACTACAAATGGCGCACATAAGTCCCAAAGCTCTTGGTTAATTTGGAGTACGTGCACGGATTCTGACCATGCGCACAAACCTGGCGCTCACTCTTTTCTGCTTCAAAGATTTCCATAACTTCTAACCTGATGACTGGGAACTTGCACTCTACATTTCAACAATATCATGACGAACTGGCCCACTGATTGCCGGTGTTGAATGCAGTTGATGAGCCTAACATTGATTGGGATCGTCTTAAGTACGCCATGAACAATACTTTTGGCGCCTGTTGTGCGCCCAACGTAAGACGTCCAAGGGTGAATGGATATCTGTGGCATCTATCAGTTTATTGAAGCACGTAAACAGGTGCCATTGGGTAAGGAATTACAGCGTGTCCGTAACGCCTTAAAACGACGGCTGACGAGGAATGTTCGAATTGACCGGGGACGTTTGTGGGTGCTAAGGGCCCGTGAGATGGAGACAGCCAGTGCTATTGGAAACAGCTGAGTGCTATTCTAGCTCATCCGGTACATGGGTATGCGAACGCCATCAACTATCCAGACACTGGCTGAGAAGGATGGACTGTTGATCCATCCTCGGCCTCGTCAAGTGGCCCCACTGGGCGGAACATTTTGAGGAGCAGTTCAACAGGACTGCTACGACACTGCCGCTTGCTAAACCATCCGAGCCAACGTGGTGAAGTTGATATTACACCTACTTTGAAGGTGATTCGATATGAGCTTTCCTTATTGAAACGAAATAAGGCACATGGACCCGATGTCCTTCCCCCATCTTTGCTGAAAGATGGTGACTCTTTGTTGACCCGAGTAAATGCGATTTGGGTCACGGAAGAGAGGCCTTAAGGCTAGAGACCCAACTGTCGTGTCCATATTCAAGAAGACTCAGCGCACTCTGTTCGAAAATCATCGACGCATTAGCCTTCTTTTCGTTATCTCCAAGCGTCTCACAGGTATCTTTCTTCCACGGCTTACTGGTCCTCGGGATAGCCGAATCGTTGGAAGCCACGCCGCCCTCGTTGTTGCATCGACCACATATTTACTCTCCGCCAAGTATTAGAGCAGACACTTTTGCAGATGACCAACTATGGGAGTTTTCCTTGACCTAATAGCCACTTTTAACTCTGTTAGTCGTGACAGCTTGTTCCGCCTCCTGTTCTTATAGAGAATGTCTGGAAAACTCATTTCCATTCTGAAATCTCTAATGTGGCTTCCAAAACCGTGTAAGGGTCTACGGGAAGCTGTCTCCTGAATTCCCAACAGCACATAGGCCTCTCCAGGGTTGTCCTTGATCTCCTTTCCCTTTCAAATTATCCATGAATATAACCTGTTATTTCAGACTACTGGAGTGGACGTTCTGGCAGGTGACAGACTAACCAATCTTGAGTATGCGGACGACATAACTCTTCTTAGATCTGATGCACTGGTTATGCAAAGACCGCTGGATCGACTGGTTCGTATCGCTGCTCGCTTCAGCATGTGCTTTGCACCTTCTAAGTGCAACGTACTGTCGCATTACTGGACCGAAGAACCACCGATTATAACTTTTACGGAATAGCCGCTAGAAGTGGTGGATCGGTTTACGTACTGTTTTAGCTGTCTCACCTCTGGTGTTCAAATCAGTAGTGAGTAGTTTATTTCGCATATTAGCAGAACCCATGTGGCTTTCCAGAGGCTCAGCCATCTACGTACATGTCAGTGAAACGCAGAGCGTATAACGCTGCGGTAGGGACGATGTTACTATATGGATCGGAAACCTGTCCAGTTCGTGTTGAGGACATTAAACGCTTGCCATGTTTGACCACCGGTGCTTGCGGAGTACTGCTCACGTCTCGTAGAAACACCCACAGAGCAACACTGAGGTACGCCAGGTAGTGTTTGGCGAAAAACTTTCTAGTGCCTCACTCGACTGTTTGCTGAATCTTAACTGCCTACATTGGTTATGCCATATCCGCATGCCCATCGACCGATTTCCTCGGCGTGTATTATACTTCGTGGCTGCACCATGTTGGGCGAAACCACATGGTGGCCAATGGTTGATTTATAATAAATCCAAACGCGTGAACGAACATTGCCTTCGTTGGCTGCGTCAAGGGGGCGCCGGGACCATTAGTAGCGTTATTCTGGCCCACATTGTGAACACCGGCCATGAAGTGGATTGGAAACGCGCTTTCCGAATAGTTTACATGGTTCCGCTGCACCGAACGAAAGGTTAGAGTCTTCGTACACTTGCAACAGCTGATGCAATATGCATTCAATTGTCCCAGCCGTCCTTGTGCTCACAGAAGAAGCTGATCCAGGCTCTCCAGATTCCCTGGCCAGCGAAGACGAAAGACGCCTAAGTCGACTACCTACGGTCAGACGCGGTAGCAAACAACTAGCCAACTAACCCAATTCCCTTTCTCATCTCACCTTCACGTGATCTATTCGTTTTGAAGCAACTGGGTCGATTTTTATTTTTAGCCTCCATATGATTGTAATGGTCTGATGATGAATGAAAGCAATTGCTCACCAGATGGTCTTTCATTCAAATTACAAAAAGAGACTGGTTGAGAGACTTTGTCAGGCTGGCGCCATCTTCGTAGATGATTAGCTGAATGGTGCACACCAATATTTGGAGACCCTATCACATAACGCAGTCGCACACTTAGTGGCGTTACTGTATTCGATTTCGTGCATTTGTCCGTTAATTTTCATTCCACCGTGATCAGTTTAAGGTACTTTCCTCTTTGGTGCTTCGGTGTTGATCCTTCCAACACTGACACCCCATAACCGGTTTCGTCCTCCTGTGAACTCATCAAATGAAGCTAACCTGAACTGGGGCGGATCTCGGGGCCTAATGCTTATAGGCTGATGCCTTGATCACTATGGCTCTAAGATGCGTGAGCAACGCTTGGCACAGCGGCAAGTAATTCAAGTTGGGTTTGAGTACTTGCTTCTTTTTTCCATATTGTCTTGTATTTGCGTTCAACCTCATTTGCTTGCCGATGTGGGCCGTGACGACAGCATCCTAGTTGGTTAACTGTACTGAACTCACTAAACTCGTGTTACTGTCCAAATTGGCTGGTCATTTTACTCGGTTTTATGCCTCTTGTACACCGCATTAATTTCGCCTTCCTCCTCATCGCCTATTCAGCTGGTTGCATCTTGCTGTTGGATTATACTTTGTGCATCACTTTTTCGTACTCGCATGTGTTTCCTCACGGCTTATTCATCTTATCGGTACTCCACGTTTCTTCCTGATCACCTTCAGGTTCGTGTCAATGTAACGAATCACAATTTGGCCATTCTCATTTACTTGATGCGATTGGTGAAAGCTCTGGTGGATAATTCGCACATTTCCTTAGAACCGTATCTGCATGTACTTGTTCCCACTGTTACCACGTGTGTTCTTAACCGGCAACTTTGTGCGAAGCCAATCACGGATAACCATTGGGCACTACGTGACTTCGCCGCGAAACAATTGGTCACGCTCTGCAATAGGTACGTTGAAGTCAATTTTCGTACGCTTACTGCTGATCGTAGACATTCCATCCCTTGCAGTGTGTATTGGATTTCACCCTGGTATCTTTTGTTTCTCCTGATACTATTTATTACTTGTTTCGAAGGTTCAGCATGAAAATGTTTGTGATTTCGTCTACACTGCGCACATAATCGCATGCTATTCGGTGCGTAGCGCAGACTTTGTTTCCACTAAAGACACCTACAGAACTACCTTTTAGGGTCCTTTTTTGGAAATTTAGTGCTAGGATAGTATTATTCAAGTCAGTGCTTTTGCTCTTAGTCCACAAGGTTTAGAGCGCTAACCTGGTTACTTTTATTGCTTTCAAGCATGACCCTTTGGCATGTGTACCTGCTTGGTCCATTGGTCTGCGGCTCGAGATATACCTTTTTCTTGGGTTCTGTCAAGACCGTCTATTTCGGCAGTCTGACCTGGCTGTGCCTTTCGGCGAAGGATGGGGTGCCCATAGCCACCCTATAGATTTGGCGGTCTGAACTTTGTTGGAAACAGAATCCGGCGTTTTCTATGCACATCAATCGATACTGCCTGAGTAAGTTTGTCGGTATTTGCTCATGGAAGTAATCGACATTTGTCAAGTGGCATAGGTCATCGGGAAACACAGTTAGGTCATACTGTCAAAAACAGCCGTCTAGACTGCACCCAAACAAAAACTATATCTAGAGTTTCCATTTAAGTGTACCACCGCCACAACGAGCGCTTAATTGCCATCCCGAGAACCCACTGCTTCGCGGAGGCTGTAATGATCATTAGAACTTGAAAATCCTCAACGTTGTAATGGGAGAGAAGCCCATCGGCGCCAAACCACACTGTGTTTACCAAGTTGATAGGGACCGCTGAGTCGGATATTCACAGTTTTGGATTCCAGGGTGATGGAACCTCTGTCCAATTGAGTTCAAAGTGAATTCACGCAACCCTCATTCAATAATCTATGCCTGCATAAGCCACTGGCGGGCACATCTTGTTGGTTCATCTGTTTAACCCCGGTTCGGTGTTTCGGATTCTATTACATCACTCTGATTCCCGCTTGTTGCGGTTCGCCGAGATCGTCTGCAAAAACGATTGGTTGTCGCTCATCCCCTGCCGATGTCACTGAGCCATCGCTTTCGGTTACCTCGTTACATGTGATTGGTGTAGTAACATCATTTCAAGTCAAGTCAAGATAAGTTTTATGCAACCGGATGGGTGCATTTCAGCATTTCGCAGTATCAACTGAGAATGAAGCAAAATGACATCATCGAACTTGCAACATTGTATCAGTGAATATACAAAAGGGAAGAATGCATTGATGTCACTCAAGTAAAAAGATCCGCCTTCTTGGACACTAAGCGCAAATTGATAAACGGCATCCTCGGGTTATTTTCATCGGAGAGAGTAGAGTAATACTAAGAAATTTCTTCAAAATTGACTTCAACCGGACTGAAAGCTCGTGGCCAAAAGCAACCAATCGCGAATAGTGCGTTGTATCTCGATTTAGTATTCAAAATGTGGAGAATAAGACGACCATGTTGACCTTGGAAGCGCGTCGAACAAAAAAGATGTCAAAATACTTCTTAAAACATATATTCGCAGTAGACACAGTAGGAAGGATGTTCATTGAAGAGGCAACGGCCGATTTAAATGCCCCGCCATTCCTTTTTCGACGTAGTTTAAATCATTTTTTATCATTGTTATTATTATTATTATTATGTGTGGTAGTCTTGAGACAATATGGAAACAAATTGGACACTTGTTTATCTCGGTGCTGATCAGTTAGGCGCATCCTCTAATGATTTTATTTATCAACCGTTTGATTTGTCGAGCTGGGATCATGTCTTTGTTAGTCTCGCTCTTCAGATCATCGCCAGCGTTGCAAGTCGCAAAATGGGAAAGATTTTTTTTACAAGACATACTGAAACTTCCTGTGTCTGGGTAGTAAATTTTTGTTGCTGCGTTTCATTCGTTCGCGGGGAAATCATTTGCTTCATCAAACAGAATTCCGCTCTCCTTGTTTTGATACTAATACGCGCCGCTCCTGAACTCGTTACCTATGTCGACTGGGCTATACGCGCTACTCACCTGCTTAATGACCAACATCTGTTTGCCTTTATTACCCATATTTACGTGTTTAGCTCATATCCTTTCGGTATGCTGTCTTTCATCACACGCCTTACATTTTCCCTACGATCACCCCGCTATATGCCCGTCCAATGCATCCGATTATGGTATTGTTTGCAGTTACTACATCTACTGTTTAAAGTTTATGACAGTTAGGTGTCATTTGGCATTGCATTGATGCACATAGGTGAGGCATTCCAAACAGCTAGCTAACATGTAAGATGATGATGATTGGTATTATGTGAAGATGCCAGTTTACAGCAGCCGATTTAGCGCTATATTCCTCATACACATTGTAGCTACATCAATCAGGAATCCACGGCTGTTTTTCGGGGTTGAAGTTCATCTTACTTATTAGTGGTTCAAGTCCATACCGGGTCTCAACTCCATGCGTACCCACATCAGTCTGCAACCGGTCCTACCTCAGTTGAAGTAAAAGCGTCTAAAGTGGATCAGTTATTTATGCTTCCAGGTACTATTTTCATGCCATTTTTCACTTTTAACTACCTTAATGATGATTCTAATGACGCACAGTTGCTTATACCGGAACTGGGTTACACTTCACCATCCACGACTACTGTTCTGCTGGCCTGTCGGGGGCCTCTTATCTATCGCTGAAGTTCAAAAATCATCACATGAGGAACTTCACCTTTCCGTGTATATGTGCGTTCAATAATCATACGTTTCGGGATGGACGGAAATGCTTCTTCAGAATAATACTAGATTTGTTTAACTGCTCAGCGAAACCTACTGTTCCGCTTTACCTTGACTTTCCGCTGATTGGGAAATCCAATACGCGGTCTGTTAACCCAGAATTGTGGGCTTGATTTCTGCCAGGTGATTTAACGCTACAACTGCGTACGCTGGGTTTCATTCGAATTTAGACCAGTGCTCTAGACCAGATCGAAAATTACGGGAGTTGACGCATGGTAACGTGGTTCATTATCACTTCCATTTGACAGATACCCGAATGCACGATGCTGACTTCTTAAATCATTGCCATCGCCTGTACATAAATCGAAGTCAGTGAACAGCTACTAGAACTATCACTGCCGTCAAATTATCATCGTTTACAAACGAACCACTTAGATGCTAACATACATGTATTAAGTTGCCTATAGATCGTTTCAGTAATTATGAGCGTTGGACGCATCTTTCTATCTAGCTTCTCGGATTCTAGCTTATAGTCTTCAATGCACTTCACTTTTTTGGTATCATGCCGCATAACACTCAGTCTTCATGTCGTCTTAGTCTTCAAAAGGTTTTCGCGACCCACGATGCAACAATAACAATCTAAGTTGCGACTTCACTTGTCTCTGTCGAAACATGTAGACAGAACGAGTACGGGCTGCATTCATCTCCATTACGTGATACTGATGCAATCAAAGTCACTTTTCGTCCCATTAGATGCGTTTGCCTAGCGGACGGAATTCCGAGTCTTAAAATAACCTCATTGGAACATTCAAAGTTGTTCTGTATGTTTGTCATATAGTCCAAAATTGACCCTTTAATTAGTCATTTACCGTTGTGCCAAGCGGTCCCTGTCGTAAGCCGGTAGCCAAAGGGGTAGAGCTTTCGGCTACTATTCGAATGGTCGCGCATTCGGGATTTGCTATCTCCACCTGATGAGATGAAATGCCATCGAAACGCGTCGTGGTTGTGCAGTGTTTTTGGGCTGGCAACACCATTTCCCATCTTCCTTGACAACGGTCGCGTTGGTCGCAGTGACCAAGGTTCACTTCAATGTGAATCACGGTCGACATAGAGATTGCGCGTCTCCATTCAATGACAGTACGTGTAGCCCGAAATTGACCCTCCAGTTTATCATTTACGGTTGTGCGAAACGTTGCCTGCGTGAGCAGTTAGCCAAAGGGGTGGAGCCTTCGGCTACTATTCCAGGCTTCGCGGGTTTGATTCCTGCTATATCTATCTAATGAGATGAAATGTCATCGAAACGCTTCGTGGTTTGCGATGTTTTTCGGCTGGAGGCACTAAATTTTTTTCTACCTTCTGATGTTTAGGCGTGGCTTCAACACCTTTTCCCTGGGGATTGTCTTTCACCTCTTTGTCTCAATGATACAACCGATTCTGGAGTTCGGCTCTGCCACTTGGTGGGGCGACATAGAAGGGATTGAGCATGGACAACTTGATGCCGTTTGGCTGATTCCTTCTTTAAGTGGTGTTGCGGACGCAGACTTGTGACAGAAACGAGGGATTTTTACCCTGTCTTTTCGTCGACTGCGTGTTGGCGTCATCATGACACACTGGATTGTACATACCTGTGATTACCTTTGTTGTGATCGCTTCTGCATTTGCCCACACCAAGCAACACACGAAGTCGCCGGTGCTAGCTTGTAGTACGTGTTTTGAAGCCGTCGACGATCAACTCTGTTTCGAACGGAGAGTGGTGAATGTATTAAACAACCTGCCGTAGCACGTAGTTTAGACAAGGTCGGTATCGGAATTCAACAAATTACTGGACAGACACTTTGCCGGTTGCAAATATATTGAGCGCACACCAACTTAATGGGTCTTTGTACCTGAGTGGTTTTTGTTGGTGCTACACAGAGATATCTGTTCTTGCTGCTTTCAACCAGTAAATATTAAGTATGTGCAAAAGTATCTTATGGGCATATCAGTCTACTGCTAAGAGACCTGACGCTGATTGACTGCACATTTTACAGGCACAATATTGTGCTCAAATCTAATTTAGTATCGAACATTCTACAAGACGGAGCCATGACGTTGAGTTTCTTCCTTCTGTTTTCTATGTGCTTTTCATTGCGACGATAGCGTGTTCTTCAGTTCGCTTCTGCATCAATTCTTCTTGCACCACATCTTCTAACTTATCGTGACGCTTCACTTCGAATTCTCGCTTTGTTTCTCGTTACCTCTGATCTCTTCAGACACAACACGTCTACCAATGAACTCTATACTCGCGTAACAAGGGAGCTCTCGCGCGCGTTGTACTGCTGGATTGAAGGCGTTCACTCAGCTGGAAGTGCTGGGGAACATGAAGTAACAGACATATTAAAATCGCATCATTCCAATTCGGTTTCCTGCATTGTTAAATCGGACTCGTTGAGCGGACGTGTTCCTACTCTGGGAACGTCAATACATTCGATGAACACTCTCTATGGTATACTTGTTGCGCTGGCTGAGTTTGGAGCACAAACTCTTCGTATCATGGTCTTTCCTGTCCTACCCGCTCTGTGCCACCGATTGACCAAGTTACTGGAACCTCCCATGATCGATGCGACCGAACCTCACGTCTCATTTGCAGCTCCAACTCGGTTATCACCCGCTGATCAGCGTTCATACGAATTCCTCAAAGTGATGCTTTCGGTATGTTTGTAGCTGCACCGTATACCTTTCACACTTTCTCGTTCTTAACGTCTAGCATCGTCATGTCATCTGACCGAAAGTGGTATTTTTTGTCTTTCAATATGAAGCCCGTGTTAACGACGAGATTGTCTAGCGCGATGGTTTACTTCTTGCCTTACCGCTTTGTTGCTCTTTTCCGTGCACAACATCAAACGTTTATTTAGATTCACTCTGGTTGCATTTATTCCCAACAATGTGTGGGGAAGTTTAAACCCTTCAGTATCAGATACAGTTAACCGTGTTCGCAGGAGTGTCCATCAGTGCAATCAGTGGCGGTTAGCGGATTGGTTTCAACCTGCACGATCGCAGTCGAATGTTTAGATCTCAAATGTTGTTTCGCTTTCAACATTCGAACATTGTAACATCAACCAATGGGCGACATCAGATGTGGCATCGCGTTGCCTCCCCGAAACGTGCGTGATTCATCTTCGGCTGCCGATCAGGAATTCCTGTAAAAATCCTGCATGCTTTGCTTCTCTGGTAATGCCAAATACACAGTTCGTGTCATCTTCGCTGTTGATGTTATACTAAACGGAGATGTACTGCATAGTGTACTCGAATAGATCACACTAAATTGCCCAGCGTGTATACTTTGAGTTCAAAACTTATTCCAACGTGGTGCAATATTATCCAGGTACAGCGCACATCTCGTTTCATCGGACGACTGCACCGTTTCATCTCGGGTCATTAGACACGAATTCCGTAAACACTTCTCATCCTCTTGGTTACGAATACGGATACACCGACCGCTGGTTATTGCATGAGCAGTCGAATGAGCACCCTATGAGCTTCTGTCCACCGCTTAGGTTATTTCCTGTTCGGTTCGAATTGCAATAATAGTAAAAGGCTTTCCTAATTGTCCATCAATAACCACGATATCAACAACGTCACCTTTATCTGAAACGTTCACGTAACTATACCTGTCGCACATCGGACAAAGCGATGTTCCGAACGTCAACAGATAACATGATCCCCAATTACAGATGGCGCAACTCAGTGTAACGTAGTCGTTCCGTCAAGAGTCGCTGCCTCGACTCCGGTTATGCTATAGCTTTTCCGAGATCAATAGCATGTCCAACTTCGACTGCACTTTCCCGTTGTCTGTACTCACATCCGGTAGTGGCGCTATTAAGCCGATTTGAGCCATGAGTTTTCATCGATTATTTTGTATAATGGCACCTACAATACCGTGAAACGTCATCTGCACAAGGATATTTAGCTTTCTTTGGCAGTCAGGTAGATAATGCTCATGGATCCACCAGTATATCACACGCGGCATCTCATACCGTACCTTGTGCACTGCATCGTCAATCATGGTCTAGATAGATGCGTTCAGGAGCTTTTACAGACCGGTGCTTTCAACATTTAGGCTACTCACATATGTGCGAATCTCTACACAGCAGTTTTACAAATTACATTCACATGACTAAGCTGAACGATAGAAGTCCAATTTGCTTCATGCTAACGTGGCGTTTTGCAGAAACCTATTTGTCCTCTTATTTTTTGATTATTCGATTGATTTACCAATCCATCCGCTGTCATAGGTTACACGGCTACCAACACACCAACGGGAATTACATGTTTTCGTGACATGGTCATTATCCATTGTCACAAAAGGAAACGGAAGGCTTTTTTCATACATCATTTTTTCTGTTCTGTCATTTTCAGTCGTTCGAGCACTAAACAATAGTAACTAACCAACTATGTACACCGCCCTTTCACGGGTTTCGGAATGCACTATGTTTTGAGGCATCGGTATTCCTGGTCTTTAGGTCTCGATCCAGATAGGCTTCTGGGTTCAGGACCAACTACTATGTGTCCGATATGTTTAGACCCATCCCCGTAATTTAGTCATGACTTGTACATTTTAACGTCGCACTTGCGCATATTTGTACCGCTTGTCCGGCTATCCATTCGGCTATTTGTGTTGGGCAGCAAAGGTTCACACGCATGCACTTGCGTCAGGGACGCACACTATCTTTTGCGAAGCCATGGATTTTGTTCTACCCTTCGATGGCATGCTTCACAACCCTGCAAATGAGTCAGTTCGTCGAGAGATGGGCGAAGAGAGAGCACATGAGGCAGTCGAACGACCGATAGCTTCGGTCGCAGCGCGGTATGCTGCCTGTCGTTTGTTCGGAGCCAACTAAACCAGTGGACACGTGAAGCTTATTTTGACAGTGGATACGGATGGGCTGTCGTTGGGTTGTGCTGATTGAAACGACTGATGATGCATTTGGTATAGTGCTCTCGTACTCAAACCCGCCTTGTCGAAGCAAGTAGTATCCCAGAAGTTGAATCCACCTAGCTCTGCAAAACAACGTAGTGTCGAAACGGCCCACTTTGTTTCGGGTGTTCATAGCGAACTAGTGGATATACAGACTCAGTTGATCATTCCTATGCGAAATATCTCCTTTTTGAGCTGCTGGTGCAATAACTAATCTCACTATCATATAAAATGAAAGCGTTTCCTAATCTCTTTCCGCCATTCGAGTAAAGTAACTGAAAAGCTGCTGAAATGTACCAAAGTATAATCAGGTCACAAAGTCCGATCACCTACAATATCCCAGACAGAAATCCATTGATATATGTGATGCGCCACCTACCTAAGGCTTTCACTTTAACAGACATTCGCTTAACTGGATACGACCACAAGAGGTCTCAGGAGCATAGCTGTGCACTAATGCGTCCAGGAACGAAACCCTGGCTCAATCATTGTTAGTCGCTCATCTAAACTCCACCCGAGTGCACAGAAAACCAAGCAGTTTACATCTAACCTGCATCACTATGTTGACATGGATGCACATGAAGTTGCTGGGCTACTATTAGCTTTGACACGGTGTATTTTAATGGCAATTTCCTAGAGGATTTTTGGAGCCATAAGAGCAGCTTTCAATTCAATTGTGACAATGTTACTAAAGTGAGGTTTTGTAACTGACACCCACAATGTTTTCGGTCAGTAAAAGACAGCGACATTGATAGTAGGGAGATTGAACTTTTCCCTGGAATTTCCTTTACATATCTCCATGTACAATTATAGTAGCCACGGTAACTCGTACCAGCTGACACTACACCAAATGCGTAACAGAATATAGGTTAGCGGTAGTTTTCATTAATTGTACGCAATTGCAGAAGGTGGCAAAATCGATGTCGCAATAGAGTCCACGGTAGGTCCTGATGCCGGTCTTGGAGATTCTGCCTTAGTGTACAGCTTTTGCGATAACAACTGGATTAGCTGCCGCTGTGACTTTTCGAATTGCATTTGCTGCTGCTAAAGTAGCGCCTGCATTTTTTCAAAAGAAATGGTCATGGTTCAGTAACTTCTCCGTCGCCAGGAACTGTTGTGTCGCCGTTGATGCCCCTCACGACCGCACGAAGATGTGTCAGGACAGAGTTTTATGCATGAGAACACTGCTTCCTTATATGGGGTAGAATAATTTATGTAGCAAAGCTACTAAAGCATGTTGGAGCCAACCAACATTATAGCAAACAACGAATAATACGAACGCATGAGAAGTGGCCAAAGAAAGAACCAATCATATGGGTCCGAGCAAACGGTATTAGCGGAAATAGACCCCTGAGATAGCATCTGTTATGAACGACTTAGGCCAATCAGTCGAAGCAAAGGAATGATGCGTTTAAACCAATGTCAAGAAACAAACGATGGCGAAACGAAAACAAGCGACTAGCAATTGTTGCAAAAAGTATGTATCCATTGAGCATCCCCTAACATCTCTCTCCTCTTAAACGGATGTGTATCTTTTCCGTCGGGATCTACTTTGAATGGCTGAACAAATCGTCTTCTTTTCGGCGTCTCCTGTGTTCCATTTCCTGGTCTTTCCGAAGACGGTGTACATTGTCCGGCGAAATCTATCGGTTTGTCATTGTCTGGTATTTCAGTAAAATCAAGTTCTTTGGTTTAAGATGTCACTGTGTTCTTTAAGTTGCGCGGCCTCATTTGATTGGCATGTCAGACCCACACTTGTGTACCGACATGGATCCCACACATCACCCGCTCACAGCGCCGTACGATGACTCCAGGTATCCCTTTGATCCTGTTCCCCTGGGATCTGCCTTCAAAATAAATGATGCGTTTAAAGAAATGTCAAGAAACAAACGATGGCATAACGAAAGCAAGCGAATTAGAATTGTAGCAAGACATATGTCTACTCAGTGTGCCTAACATAAAGTTTTCGTAGAATGTAGCATACTTTGCTGTTACCCCATTCCTTATCAAGCGACGTCATAGAGCAGATCGACCACTCGAGTCAACTACAGGTCAGATGTTTATGAAGCAGCTATGTTAATCCTCTGGTAGAGATGATGGTGTTCGACGGGTTGGCGGAATGTGGAGACTTGTTGCACACATCCCCGCCCGGGACGGAAACCACCTTCTTCATAAGCATATGATTAACGAATTTGTGATAGTATACAAAGTTGTATGTATGGCAAGGCGGGAGAGCCTATGGTGCGTTGAGGCTGGTGGTGGCTAGATCCTGACAGATGGTCTACCCACTGCTGCTACTGTTGCGCCATAGTCTCATGTCCTGGGCGCCTCCACGTGGCGACCGCTTGGAGCGAGTTGGGTTTCGCCCTTCTCCCTGCTAAGATCCAGGACACCAATCCGCATGAGTCAGCTAACTGACCATGTGCTAGACCCGCTGCCTTTCGGGTGTTCATTTAATCGAAGGCTTTGGCTGAGGACCCGAGTCGTTCTCCTGTCAGGTGTGGGCGCCCTGGCAGTATCCTAGTCCATCCTCTTCGGAGGTTAGGAAGTGGTCGATGGCCCACTTCCCGTAAAACCTAGCCATGGGAGACAACAGGTTTATGGGTTATAAGCTCACAGCTCGATTGGCATAGAGCACGAGTGCCACGCATTGTCTCTGACGGTGGGAGGACACCTCCGGGTGTTCAATGGTTTGCTACTGCCCGCCTCAAACCAGGCAGCCCCTGGTCAAATT